TATAAAAATAGATTCTGGTCGCTAATAAATAATTATATAATCATAATCGAAAGACTAATTGTTACGAACAGTTGCATTTCTTCTTTATGTCGATCTGAAATCAAAACTCCCAGCTTAATGCTTGACGATTTTCCAGGAAAAAAGGCACAATCATAACATAAAACATAACACGTTCAACTTTATTTTATTTTTTAGCATAACATCTAACCGCTGAATGTAAATTGATGGAGGTGGGTACCTTGTAAAATCTCACTCAAGATCGCATCTTGTCATGAATTTTATCCCCTTGCTTCAATTCCAATGCAGCGACGTCTGTTGATGATATTCTATTACCACCTTCTGCAGAAACAAAGGACCCAGACACGGGATTGAGTTGACAACCAACTCTGTATAGATAATTGCCCCTCCAGGAACGTATAGGTAAATTCATACACACCATATGTAGGAGTAGTGTAGGGACCTGAGTGTGGATTGAAATTGTCTTTTATATTTGTACAGTGACTGCAACATTCGTGATCCTTCATGTAACGTGAGGGATCGTGCGTGTATCAATCTCAATCGTTTGCGGTTGTAATCGTGCGTGATCGTGCTGTAAGAAACGTGCAAAATTCGCTTTGTAAGTTTTTATCGGAATGTAATATGTTAAAGTAAATGTATGTTGAGTAAATGGAAACGTTACCTAGACAACTGCTTCTTATTTCGGACCAAGAGTGAAGAAAACTTAAATAAATTCCATTCACTTCTTACCGGTAATAACCTCTATGATTCTATACAATTTACAATAGAAAAAGTCGTACGGAATTTCCATTTTTAGATCTTCTTATTATAAAGAATAGATCCTGTATAGCTACAGAGTATACTGTAAACCTACGGACACGTATCAGTATTTGGATTTTTGATCGTGCCACCCATCCCACACATTTAACTTAATAACAAATTAGATTTTATTTTTATTACATCCTTAATTGATTGCATGTAAAAAAAAAAAACAGAGTACTTTAACAAATAATAATCAGAAAATGTAACAGTATCTTTGTATTCAACATGATGGTTTATCATTTATATGTTGCACAATATCAATTTCTTTTATTTTACCTTAAATGAGAAATTTCTTTTTGATAGGTGTGACTGTCATCTGAAAACTGAATGTGAAATTTGATACCAAGCATGCCCATGATTTGCCAGAAGAACATGTTGGGAGATGAAACAGAACATGCAGAATAAGCAGCATAGTGAAATTTAAACAATCACACGAGGATAAAAGTCCACCTATAGTTATGGCAAAATTAGGCCTTAATACGTTAAGAGCTTGTAACATGTTTATTTTCACAGTTTAATTTAGGGAGAGCTATTTCATATACAAATACAGCCAAACCTCATTATCTTGAATTCAATGGGACCAAAAAAATTCAGATATCCGAGGATTCGAGATATCCAGGGTAAAATATTGAGTTCATTCAACCTTGATAGAATCATCAATTCCAAGTTTTTTCTTTGTTTAGCGTCCACCCTTAATTCAATAACCTGTCTTTCTATCCTGAAAAAAAAAACAAACAGAAGAAACAAGATTTTTAAGCACAATTCTAGAATTTCCCATCATCATTTGAGAATTTATTTGAGAATTTTAACTTAAGTAAACTGTACTTATTGAAAAAAATGGTACACTTCTTTAAAAAAAGACTTGGAGATACCGATCCAGTGTAAATTGCGTTTCAAAGATTTGTATCTGTTGATTAATAGTCTGTGTTTGTTTTTAATATCAGAACCTCAAAACCAAACGCTCCGCAGTCGCTAAACATAGAAAAACTTGGAATGGCCTCATAACTTTTTAGGGTGATGTATTGGTCCACAATGTGGCGTTAATTTTTTTATGATATTAAAAAGGGTTTTTAAACAAAGCAAAAGGACACAGACAACCATTGATGATAGGCCCATGGTTGAACTTCTTCTCAGGAACCACAGTGCCAAATTCAAACAAACTTGCCTCAAGGCACCCATACGTAAAAGGGTTTCAAGTTTGTTCAATTTAAGGAGTAAACCCTTTTTAAAAGGGGAGATAATAAGAAATAATGTAAAATTAAATGTGGTCATTAATAATCTTCTTAAGAACTATTAGGCCATAGAAGAAGAAACTGGTGTGAACGATTCCTGAAAAATTTTAAAATCATGTTTGTTAAAATTATAGCCTCTAGGGATAGGGTAGGGCCTCAAAAGGGGCTAAAAGTTTCAGGGTAATGTATTAGAAAGATGTTTAAAAATCTTCTTCTTAGGAACAGCAGGGCAATGTTGGTTATATTGATTTCAAGATATGACATTTCCAAATATATCATGATTTTTTATCTCATGGACGTTGAGGTTTGACCTACTTAAAAAAAACATGAAATCTTAATATTGGTGTTAACCTAGAATGATAGAAGCTAGGGTGTTCTCATAAACTACACGTGATAACTCCTTTCAGAAGCTTCATGATCTTGACCAAGAGGTTTTACCTTCTTATGAAAGTTTTAATTTTTGCTATAATTTTTGCTCCAGAAGAGACAGGGCATTTGTATCTTTTTTCACATGTGCTTATTTGTTGCCTATGGGATTGTATTACGAAATTTGACCTCATGACCTTGATCTTGAAGTTTGGTGAAGTTTTCAGAAACTTCAGTCTTGGTCAGAACTTTTATCAAAGTTTATATTTTTTGTACGATAGACAGACAAAACAGGACACATGGACAAGACAGAAATAGTTGCATCTCAATTACTAAGTCTAGGAAAGAATGAAACAAGAAATATTTGATTTTTTTTTTGCCGTGTCTTAGGTTTACGTGTTTCTTCACATTATATCTACTGCAATCACCTTCAAAGGATTCAGGTATTTTAAGTTAATATTGATGACGAATTTACTGGAATATATTTGTTATATACATGTAAAAATTATTTAAACAATTCGCAAAAATTAAATATGTGTGTTTTTCTTTCCTAGTAAAACATTTAAATAAATGCACACAAAATGTACAGTTAAACCTTGTTATTTCGAACACAACAGAACCAAGATTAAACTTCAAGATATCTGATATCCCTGTAACTTAGATATCGGTATTCGAGATAATGAAGTTCCAACTAAGAAAGAGGTTATGTTAAAATATCCACAAGTAATACTGTCTTCATGATACTTTGGTTTTGCGACTTTGCCTTTTAAATCTTTACTGATATTGATTCCCCCTCTGGTAAAACTAGAAATCATCCCTGTGGATACCTTATCAGGGTATTTTCCACTTGCTGACTGTCAAACAATGGAAACTATCAATCAGTAACACATTTGGATTACTTACTATCTAGTAATACTCTTTAAAAAAAAGTCATTTATTACATCAATTTACAAGATAGTCGCTAAGAAGGAAGACACACTTGCTTTGCAACGAGCTTTGCTCTAGTTCAAACTTATTATTCCATTAGAAACATAGAAATTTTAAAACTTTGATTTGCAGTGAACCTCTTTTGTATTACCTATTAAACACAGTTGTTTTACAGTTGGTAACTGCAATGAAGCAAAGACGTCAAAACAAGGTTAAACTGTTCAACATGTCACTGATAGTGACTATAATTTCTTTCTTTTTTTTAATCGTTTTTATGTAATTCACCGACTTAGAAAAAAAATATTTAAAAAGTGGAAATTTTGGACACTAAGACTTAATAGCTACTTTAGATAGCCAATAATTATTTATTTAATTTACCAACTTAGGAAACCTGGAAAAATTTTTTTTCATCTGTTTATTACGTAAATGTGTATTTTTTAATCGATTGCCTCATATTACATCAGATGATATTAGTGGGTCCTGAGTTTTGATTTTATTGGATTTTATAATGTCGTAAGGGGATGATGAGATATAAGATCATAATATTGAAGGATTTTTCTAGCATAAAAAAACTGATTTAAAATAAACCTTTTCATTTGTGCATCTCAAATATAAGCAATTTTTATAAATAGTTCATTCATTTGTAAAATTTATTGAAATAAAGTAAATATCCAGGATAAAAGTAACCGCGGCAATCACGTCCTTTATATTCGAATGCCGACCAAATATTCATATGTTTAATTGTTTTAGCGATATACTGTTTTGATGTATTGATATGAAAATATCTAGACTACAATTAGCAGTAAACATAGTTAAAATCAGAAGAAATTTTTTTTTAAATGTCTTGAATGCATTTTATCATCAACAGTTACAATATTTAAGAGAATACAGTATGGTACGACTTGCTGTTTTGCGATACTAATTAGCACAAATTATTTCATTCCACTGTGCAAATCTCACATTTCGAGAAGACTACAATTAGAGACAAGCAAAATGTTTGTTCAACAAATAACATTCTAACGATCATAAACCTCATACACGTACGATACCTCACGTTACACGAACAATCACGCACGTTTCACGAACGATTCTACACGATTGGTTTGTTACCAATTACGTTTGTTTGTTTGTTGTTCAACGTCTCTCTCGAGAATTTTTCTCTTATACTGATTCGCCAACACTTGCCGGTGGAGGGCTACAAATTTTGACCTATCCTCGGCACTCAGGTTTATTGAGCAGAGAGAGATCTTTTTCGTGCCAGCACCTACTGTACCACTGGAACTCCATTTATACCGTCTCATCCGAAGGACAGGTCTCCACGTCCCGCAGTGGGATTTGAACCCAAGGATCAACTCCTTACTCCGAGACTCTAGAGTAGACACTCTAACCACTGTAGCACCCGGGCAACTATTCTTTTGTGTAGTGGAGACAAGGCTTTCAGATTTTTCAAGTATAAAAATCTGAGTTTATGACTTGAAGATTTATTTTAAAAATTAGTCTTGAACTTAACTTTGATTCATTAAAAAGTCAAAATCACCTCTGAATTGCTTTCTTGCTGACAACACAAAACCTGTATCACTTGATTTATTGCAGTTCTGGTTATACATGTATTTTACCTTATTATTTATAAGACAATCAAGAGAGATCATTGTTCTTAGTAGATCAAAAAAATAATATAATGAATTGATCGAGCCCCACTAAAAAATTAAGCATCAATGTACACATTTACTGAAAGATGCCTCATGTTAATACAAAATTTTATTTAGAAAAATGGGAAAAATCCTATTACATACTTTGTCCCACTTCTCAATACTTGAGGTACCACAGTTTTCTTTCATGCACATCTTTCTTTCGAAGTCAATTGTAAACATTGTTTTTTCTCTTTAAAACAAAAATCCAACATCTTATGCTATGAGATATCTACATTTATCTAACAAGATGATGATGATGATGATGATGTGTGTGTGTGAGTGTGTGTGTGTGTTGTTATTATGGCAATTGTTATCTGCAGTCGTCGTATTCGTTATGATATTTCATTAAAGATATTGATAGCTTTCTTTCCATTAATCCCCCTCTTAAATGAAAATCCCTGCTTCTCTTTCCTTCTCTTTTGGTCTCATCTCCTTGGTTTGAACTACTTGTATCTCCATCTGTCCATCTATTTTGACGGTAGCTATATCGCTGATTATTATTCATTACTTCACTGAAAACGGATCGCTTTCTTTCGTTTCTTGGATACCTTGTTCGATCGTCATTGGTTTTGATCCGATGAAAAGTGTTTTGCCTGTACTGTTGGAATAATGCACGAGTGTTGATTGGTTCGTAGGCAATGGACTTCCGTTTTGACTTGGTTGAAGTGGTTCCACCTGAAGATGAGTCAGAATAATATCTGGTTCCTACGAAAATACAAAGAGTTTTACAGAATTAACATATTAAGAACAAAGCGGCATACAGTGTAAACGATTTTTTAGTTTGATGTTTATGTGGTAAGTCGCTTTAAGAGTTTCTTTTTCATTTATTTAACGCATAGAAGGACTTAATCCACGCTATTTAATGCTTAAGTAGATACAATGTACAGAGTGTATAAGAATCATCAATTGAAATGTTGGATGAAGTATTATGATTGACAGAAATGAGACTTTCATAATTTGGAGAGTATGTTTTGTAAAAAAATATCTTGTGGGCACTTAAGATTTATTACCAGGACAGATTGAAACATAGATGTATAACCAGAATTAGGACATCATTATGTTGAAAGATATTAAGATAATAGATAGTTTTAGCAATAGACGTATTTTCCCTGCGAGTTACTTCCCTTGGCCGCCATCTCGGAGGTCTTACTAGCGAATTTTCTTCTTTAAGGCCACGCCAATGAAATATTTTGTTCGTCGGACCCGAGCGCTCGTATTTAAGCAAAACTATACAAATAATATTAATTTTAATTTCCATGGAAATTCTGGGCTGTTTTCTATTCCGTTTCCGCTCTATTTTTCGTATTTTGAATCTGCTTACTCTGCAAATCAGAAAAAAATGTAATTGTCCGCTCAAATTTTTTTCATGCTCCGCCTAAAAAAAATTGGCTACAAAAAGTAATAATATTATTATATAACCGCTTGCCCGCTAGTACTTTTTTCATCAAATCTCCGACGAGCAAGAAATGAGATTGGAGTGGCCTAAACGACATATTTTAAACTTGTATGGCATAAATATAAGGGTAAAAATATTTAAAATACTAAACTTACGAATGAAAGAAAACTTGTGTTAACATAAATTCGTAAGAAGTATTGTATTATCTTTTCCCAAGTTTCCAGTATGACAAGTTTAAATTGGTTGAAAAATGAAGGAATTCGGGCTTCTATACCTCCAATATGGCGACCAAAGGGAAATAACTCTTTCTAAAATCGTGTCTATCGAAAACTACCTATTAATAAAGAACAATAAAAAAAACATTTTTTTTCTAAAGAACCTGTTTCTTGTAAATGTTCAATTTGTCTTAAAAGTGCGTTTTCCTCTTCTTGCCTATCAGCTTCCGGTATTTCTTGCATTTCCTGATTTTCCTCTTTTGCAATCTCATACGTTTCTAAAATATTTGAATGTAGGTCCCTTTTCATTTTTCTTTTAAAGGGATTTGGAAGTTCTGTGATGGCAACAAGATGCAAAAATGTACCCCATCTACAATGAAATTTAATCATATTAAAACTTCTGTAAAAGCAGGAGAGAGAGAGAGAGAGAGAGAGAGAGAGAGAGAGAGAGAGAGAGAGCGATGTCAGTGATGCAGTTTTAAGCAAGAGACATTAAAAAGACAATCAAAATCTAAAGGAAAAATAATCACACGAGCATACAGCAACTTCACAATGGTTTCGTTTGTTTGCTATGTCTATGATTGAATCTATTACATGTAGTTGTTCGATAGTGCCAAAGCATATCAGGTGTTTTTATATTGACGATAGTTATTTTTTTTTATAATGTCTGATGCTTTACTGTATACAAGGAAATTCTCGCCGCCAATTTATTTCCCCCTTTAGTCCTACTCACAGATGGACGAATTTAAGTCGGGACGAATTCATAAAACAAAGAATAATTTTAAACAAAACTGTGACTTAGCGAATTTAAAATGGGGCAAAATTACTTGCAAGTGTGAAAGGTCGAAAATAAGATGGGGCGAAAATAACCCCGAATATAGTATGTGTTTCACATTGTTTGCTACTGAGGTGCCATTTTTACCTGTGCATAACCATGCCAGAAAACTGTATCATAAGAATGATAAGGAAGAAGGCAATAAACAGAACACCCAGAAGCTCAATTCTCATCTCATAATTCTGATCTTCGTCATCATCATTGTTTGTCTAAAAGAACGGCAATGGGTTTATCTAAAGCTTGTTAAACAGATACAATATCTGATAAAGTGATGTTATTACATTCAGAAGAAAAGGTTATGAAATGAAATCATTTCACTTAAATCATATATCTCTGAAGAGAAGTGAAATTCATGTAAATGAGTTGAATCTGATTCGTCGAGAAACATTTGTTATAAAACACTATTACCCGCTGAATGATGAAGCCACGCCCTCCAGCGAAGCAACAGTCAACATTGCATGACGACGGGTGTTATTCCAAAAGAAATATTGACTGCGCAGAATTGATGCGCGCAAGATTCACTCTAATATGTATTTGTATTAAACATTCAGTATGGTATAATAAATATTGCATGTAGTTGAGTGTAAAATTGAAAATTTTCACCCCTCGAAAACCTTTGTTTATTTTCAACGCGAAATGGAAACTTCATCAATGACAAAGAAAACATAATAATGAGCCAAAAGGAGTTATTGATATTTTTTAACAGTTTGCATATTGACAAAACGATTTGAAATAAAATAAAAATGAGGTGGTGGTACTAGAGAAATGTTTGTTTAGAAGAATTTTAACTGAAAGTTGAAGCATATCTCTATCATATTTCGTACTGGAAGTTTAAATGTTATCACAGCAGGACTTCGTAACTGAAACATGAAGTTCACTGCAATCCAAAGTAGGTTTAAAAGAGCCATTCCTCCACAAACATTATTCCTTAACTCCCTCAGCTGTTCCTTAACTTTATTTTCTTTTGCAGGATCTCTCTCTAAAGGTTTCAAATATCTAAAAGAAAGAGATATATAGTCAAATCTGCTCATTTCTGAGCCCAACTGTGATAAATTAAAAAAAAGCATACTTATTTCTAGTTTTTTTTCACCATTAATTACAAGGAATCATAGATAGATGCATATCCGGTATAATGAGACAAGTTTGAATGCTTCTGTTTACTCAGTGTGATGTTACTAAATAAAGTGACATCAGAAAACTATCAATAGCAAGATGACAAATATTATACAAATGAAAAACAAGAGAAATAGTCGATGTTCGGCACGGGACACTGTTTATATATCATTTACTGTAAATGTAGATATCTGAAGCACAGGGTGTTTCATAATATATGGCACACATCTACAGGATAATTAAGAAGTTTAACAAAAATCTGATGTAAAGATGAAAGACCGTTATATCCTGGACTTCCCCAAAAAAATCAAAATGAGACGATAACATTGTCAAAGTATAGTCAATCATTGTTTGTTTGTTTGTTGCTTAACGTCCCTCTCTAGAATGTTTTCACTCTTATGGAGACGCCACTACTTGCTTGTGGAGAACTGCAAATTTTGACCTATGCACGGCACTCAGGACCATTGATCAGTGAGGGATCTTTTTCGTGCAAGCACCTACTGCGACACGGGACCTCGGTTTTTGCGGTCTTATCCACAGGGCCGGTCTCCACGCCCCAAAGTGGGATTCGAACCCGCGAAGTAAAGATCAACTCCTAACTCCGCGACTCTAGATCAGACGCTCTACCACTGTGCCGCACGGGAGACAAGTCAATCATTGAGAAAACATCAAGAAAATCAGTTAGTGCTGAGCTTATGGAGACGGGTTGTGACAATTTTAGTGTTTCAAGTGTATTTAGAAATCTGCGATTTGGTTTGAATATACATGCATACAAGATTTCAGCATTGCAGTATCTCAAGCCAAATGACATTAAGAGTTGGTTGAGGTTTGCAAGCCAAAGAAGTGGATTGCAGCACATACCGGTAGTTCTGAAATGACATATTTATTTAAATGCATATCCAAAAAAAAAAATGCACTTTGGGGGTTCTAAAAAGATCCAGACGTAAAACAAGAAATCTGTCACTATTCTGTGAAACGTGCAAAGCATTGGTCAGAAATTCCTGAACACGGGTCTCTTCAGTTATTCAGAACAAAGGTAAACACCTGAAAAATATCATTTGAGGAAATCGTTGCCATAGAAACTGAGTATGTTGAATACTTCTGACTTAAAATAATAATTTTGGATACCCGCTGATTAAAATGATATATAAAATGTATATAGATGTAATTTTTTTCTTTCTGCCTTTAGATTCGTGACATAATATTGTGAAACACCCTGTACCTGTCAACAAATGATTTCCAAAATTCACGTTCCTTTTCCTTCATTTGAACATATCTTCCTGAGAAGGGACCTTTATTTACCCACGATGGTTTTTCATCGCAAGACACCTGTTTGATTATAAATAAATAGCACAAAGTAGACAAAATAACTGAATACATTTGTTGAAACATATTATCTGTCCTTAACATATTTTAAGGTTGTTTCATTTTCGGAAAAAATGGATTATATTGAATGTCAACCATTTCTATATATGTTGCATCATATTAAGAATCAATAGTTTTCACACATTCGTCTGATATGTTCTTATATTCGTATACCTTCTCCATGAAAACTTTTTCTGAACTCCCTTTACTTTGCTCCTGAGAATGAGAATCTAGAAGTGGTGTCGTCTCTGTTACTATCTCCTCTAAATGTTCATTTTCTTGATGATTCATTGCAGAATCCTTCCTGAATCTAACTATATCAGCCACTGCCGCTAATATTTTAAGAAGCACGTCCTTTTCTGAAGGGTTTGGTTTCAACAAATTAGTCTTCATCTTTTTAAATGGGGAGAATATTTTGTACAGAAGTCCCTCACTTTTTCCCCTTTTCTCTTTTGTTATACCACTTTCTCGAGTTCCCCATGAAATATCATTCAAATTGCACAAAGAATAAATGAACAGAAGTAAGAACCCTGTCGGAACAAGAACATAATAGAGTAAGCCGTATATAATATTGCCCCATTCTCTTGGATGAAGTAAAGCAGCAATAACGAAAACAGCAACTAGTCCCATGATGAAAATAACACTGGGATGGAACAGAGATTCTGTAACAGCTGTGATTATAACACCAACAAAAACAACCATCATGATTAATATATAAAATCCGCTTAGAATTTGAGCAATCAAAAGTTGAACGTTTAAGCGGAATGTGAGACATATGATAAAATATGCAATAGCCGGAAGTAAAGAGGCGATATATGACATCATAAGATTCACACCGAAAACGGCAACAAAGGCGCCGGCTATCATCATAAGAATTGTTGCTGGACCAATTAGTGTTGCAACCATCAGAGAAACTGAAAAAAAAGCAACCGTTTTGAATTTCTATGATGAATGAATTCACATAAATGTATTTTATGATAATAAAAGAAAATAATTAAATATACACATTTATAAAACAAATAACATTCTTTTCATGTCCGTTAACATACAAAAGCAATCTTTGCTATGCTATTTTTTAATCAAATGGCGTCATGTAATTGCATTGTTAGTAATGGCTCTTGAATTATGAAAACCGTATGGTTTGATTTTACTCTGTTTTACAGCTTACAAAATTGTCAAGAAAGAGTGAAAAAAAAGCTTATGACCAATTAGATATGTCGGTATGATCAGCAGTAAACCTAACTATAGTCTGTCCCACGGTACCAAGGACCTCACTTTTCGCCTCATGTATCAAAATGTATAAATACCTTGGCCTTCAAACTAGGTTCGGTCGATAGATCATTTTTTTTCAAACTTCCTGCATTTATCCGAACCCTCGAGTTCAACCGGTGTATTGACACGGCGACAAATTCAAAGTCTACGAGGATTTAACATGATAAACTCGTCCATTAGCGTCCAGATCACGGGGCAGGAAACCAGTTTTTCGAGGGAGTAGTCGTTCTTGCGAAATTAAAATTACAAAAAATCTTTAAAATTCAACGAAAGTAATTCAGTGTGATTTGGTAAATAATATAAGTATTGTTTTGCATTCAAATATATTTTTGACGAGTTTTCTCATAAAATGAGAGAAAATTATCAGAATTCAATGCAGTACAAGTTGTGGATATTGAGGTCACGCATTTCCTTTAGAAACGGATGTTGATATGGTCTGGTGCGTGTTGTTTACAGCTTCATTTTCTGAAAACGTAGCAAAATGGTAAGTTGTTGTCCTTTTCTTTATTTCATACCTACATACACCCAAGAAAGAACTATTTCAAATACTAAGACTAAGTCAAAAAATGCGCATAAGTGCCCCATAATTATGATAATATGTTACATGTCCAATAAATAAATAAAAAATTAAAAAAAACAACAACAGAAAACAAAAAATAAAAAACTGACATTTTTATCAACTTATTTCAAATAATAAAACTATTAGGAAAAAGAAAACATACAAATACACCTTTCAATTATAATGACAATGACTCTTTTTTTATTAGAAGCTGGTAGATTTTTATTTATTCATTTAAATGCATGATCATGTAGCTTTGTAGGTCGATCTACTTTCACTTTGAACACTTCATGCATTTGGCAGTCACTACCTACATGATCCACAGAAAGCAAAATTTAACATTTATGTGAAGTGTCAGCACCTTGACGAATCACTATGCAGTTTGTTTATATATATAAATATTCTGGACACTCAAGATTTTTTATAAATTTTATTTAGTTTTAATTTTACAGGACAGAGTTCTAAGTGTCTTTTGTGTTTTAACATACAGGGTTATCAGATATTGTTAGGTGTATAAATATATAAATAAATGTTACATGTTGATTGATGCAGTCCAGATTTAACTATATTTCAAGAGTTAACTTATTTACTGTATGCTTTGCCCAAGATGAATATATGATGGAGGAAAATGACAACATAATTATCCAATAAAATACTTGCATTGATAAAATTGCATGAAAATCAAAAGATGCAATATTTACCTAGGCACAAGTACATATGGTAAATACCATATAAGGATTATTTGTATTATACTGCATTTAAGACATTCTATTCAAAAATATAAATTTGTAACATTAATTACACATATTGGAGATTCACCTTATCTGTTTTACAGCTATTTTTTTTTAGGGAGGGGGGGGGGTGCTTAAGGTAACACATTTAATGTACTGAATGCATTATTTTTCATTTTAAAAATGTCAGGTAAATTTCTAGTTAAATAAACAATGCATTTATTTATCTTTATTTGACATAATCTACAGAATCTTTTTCCACTATTTGATAAACTTTATTATTATTATCAATGTCCATTATCCTCAAAATATTCTGTCACTTTTAAATAAAGGACAATCAGTCAGTGAATGAATCTTTAACACAATTCACGTCTCACCTTATTCAAATTCTCTCATGTGTGATTTTTTTGTCTCTCAGTGTTTTATATATACATGTAATTCCCTTTCAATTCTGTGATTACATGTATGTTCAATTTAATGTATAATAATTTTTCTAGTTTTATATAGCTTTTCAAAAAATTACTTTTTTTTATTTCAAGAATTTTTTATTGTCGAAGCATAATGTAAGTTTACCAGACATACAACACTAAAGACTTCTATTTACTTAAACAAGTATTGATAAAAAAAAATCATCTTTCATAATTTCTTTTACATGTAGATTTTTTTTTTAAAGTCATTAACTTTATTACTTACATTCCCCATAGTAGACCCATTTTGTTCAAACACCCAAATTTATATGCAAAAAGAAAATAAAGCAAACAATACATAGACAAAATTTCATCATTCATGTAATTAACTATGAATAGTACTCTAGCACAATAAATAAAAGGTCAAGAAACACTAACTTAATAAAGGTCAAAAATCAGAGATCATTTAAATTGTAAATGGGCACATCACTGATCAAGTTTGTGTCCCTTTTTCAGTTTATTCCATTTAAAGGACTAATTATTGATTAAAGAATTGTAATAAAGAAGCAACATTTACGTTGTTATGTCTTTATTAATAACCAAAATAATATTTTGAAGGTAACTGAAATACGTTGTTATGATGAGCAGACATCAAGAAGGCGCACATGCGTGTAAAGGACAATCCACTCAAATTTTCAGAATAAAGTGTTTGGAGTTCATCTGGATGAAACATACATGAACAAGTTTCAGGACATTCTTCTGGATGGTCTGGGCAGTAAGTACATATATGAATATAAAAGAAAATGTCTTCTTTTTTTTTTTAAATTTTTGAAGTGTATACTTGGCCAGGTACAATGTATCTGAAAAAAAAAATCATCATGTATTTTTCATATGTACAGAAAGAATTCATGTTATCATGATACATGTACAAATGAAATCATTTGAATTTTCATTATAATTCCTTAATTTCACATTACAAAGACTTAAAAGTTTTTTATTTTTTATTCACCAGAATCTTCATGACAGTTAATATGCAGTTAATATGTTAATATGTGTATTATTGTCATCTTTTACAGGCCCAAAGAATAGTCTAAACCGAAGATTACCAGATAGTTTGCCCAGTAGTGATCACTTGATGAGCCAGACACAAATTGAAGTGTCAGTGATATAATGGAGAGAAAAATACTCACTTTCTAATCCATTCATAGATGTTGTTTCTCTCCTCGGCTTCATGTTTTTATGTCCAATATGAGTCAAAACTTTTCTTTTGTACCAATTGACATTCAAACCATGGACACCTGCAGCACTATTAGCATTTTACTTTCATTTCTTCTTCAGCCTGAATATCTATAAGATAATCTTAATAAATATAGGAAAGACAATTCATTTACCTTTTGGAATATTTTTCAAATTACTTAAAATGCTGAAAAGAAAACAGTTCAGACAAAATTTCAAATAACATAGTATGTTGAGTGTTTAACCTCTAATTTCACTAATTTAAGATTTAAGTAATAGTATGAGATTTGATATTTTTACAACTTGTAATTCAACTTTTATAACAATTTTCACAGTATTTAAATTGCAAAGCAGAAGTTATAAATGATGAAACTTGGTGTCTTGAACACTGAAATCTCATATCAAAGTTATTTTGAAGTCCCAACCACTTGAATATTCTTGAAGTACGATATTTTATATTTGATATCTTGAATACTCAAATATCTAGGAAGTTTTTATCAGTCCCATCATAGGATGAGGTTTAACAACAAAGTTTGACTAATTAATATGATAAATATGAACACTATGATTATTTTTTTTTTGGTTTGTCAAGCTTGAACTGAAAATGTTTGATTGCCCCATCCCCCCCCCCCCCCCCCCACACACACACACTTAAATTGCTTCCCATGGGCCTGACCCCATAAATTAAAAATGATCTCACAGATGACTTTAGACACCCCCCCCCAAAAAAAAAAAAATTAAAGCTACATACATGTTTCTGCAGCTACTTAAGAATGAATTAATATTATGTACCTGCTTGTCTTCCTGTTCTCTATCCTAATATTTAAATTCTTGTTTCAAAATAAAATGTTTAACTTAGTTTTATCTTTTGTTTTTAGCTCACCTGAGCTGAAAGCTCAAATGAGCTTTTCTGATCACAGTTTGTCTGTCGTCTTTCTGTCCGTCTGTCCATCTAGCTGTCTGTCTGTCTGTCCATCTGTAAACTTTTCACATTTTTGACTTCTTCTCCAGAACTACTGGGCCAATTTCAATCAAACTTGCCACAAAGTATCCTTGGGTGAAGGGGGTTCAAGTTTGTTCAAACTAAGGGCCACGCCCTCTTCCAAGGGGAGATAATTAAAAATTGGTGAAAATTTGGTGTCATCTTTTAAAAAAACTTCATCTCAAGAACCATTGGGCCAGAAAAGTTGAAACTTAGGTGAAACCTTCATTATATAGTGTAGATTCAAGTTTGTTCAAATCATGATCCCCGGGGTAGTGTGGGGCCACAATGAGGGATCAAAGTTTAACATAGGAATATATAGGAAAATTCTTTAAAATTCTTCTCAAGAACAACAAAGCCACAATTAGTCATATTGATATGGAATCATCCTCAGGTAGTGTAGATTCAAGTTTGTTCAAATCACTGGTAGGGTGGGGCCACAATGGGGCATCAAAGTTTTACATAGGAATATATAGAAAAAAATCTTTAAAAATATTCTTTTCAAGAAATATTTTCTATAGAGCAGCAAATAGAGCAGTGCTGCGTACGTAAACCAAAGCTTATAGATATACATGTCAAGATAGTAATTGAAATACATGTACAGGCAAGAACATTTTACTTACTCGGCGCAAGATTGATTTTACATGAACAAGGCCCTACCACAGGCATGATAAGAGAAGAGGATAAAACAATCTCTATTGTTCCTGTAATAGGGAATATTTCTGTG